TCGTCGTGGAGATCCAAATTGTCTTCTTTAACGTCAACTGGCCCGGGCACCCTCCGCCTTTTCTTGGCCTCCCTCCGCCGCTTCTTCCTTTGCAGGTTGGCTTTCCTTTTGATGTCACTATTCACAAGCCCCCTCTTCCTAGCCATCCGCTCAATTTGGGAGCCAGTAGTCGGGGTGTAATTCTCCATGTCAAACTTCAGGAGATCGCCTGAGACAGAGTCAGAATTTGCAAAGGGGTCTGAAATTATATATTGTAAAAATATTTAATACGCTGTCAGTCAGTACACAGACATTTCAATTTGATTATATTTGATTAGATTTGTTTTTCTTTTATTGTCACTGATTACCATCATTTCCCATGATCTTGATTGTGTTTGAACAATTTCATCGTCATGATCACATAAGAATCCAAGTTACCAACAATGCTCAACGACTGCTTGGCTGTTGGTGTGGACATCAATTGTCTCCAGACATTACTCAGAGTTCCACCATATGAATTCCACCCTTTTGCTGTGCAGTGCGGGAGTTCCTGCCCAGGTAATGGCGGGTTGTCAAAAGCCATCTTTCCTTCTAGCATCTCAAACCTAGGCAGCAAACAAAATTGCACCTTGAAAAAAAACAATGTCTCAACCAACATCAATGCAAAGCAAGACCTTTGATAGAAAATTATCATCCAAGGTTCAGCATGCAACCAGCTCCCCAAATATCATTTCGTTCTGAACAGCGGACTTCTTCATGCCAAACATCACCCGGCAAGTACTCCGGAGTTCCACATGGGCCTAATAAAGCTGCGGCTTGGGCCTTGGAGCAGCACAAGCCAAAGTCACCTAGTTTGGCAACACCAGAGGTGAGGAAAACGTTGGCCGGCTTTATGTCAAGGTGGACCATGTCGTGGCTGTCATGCAGGTATCGTAAGCCAGAAACCAAGTTCGCAAGAATTCTTCCTGCAAATGCTGGTTCCACTCGACGAGCCGCGTGAATCGCCCCATGCAAGTCCCCTTCCAGTAGCTCCATCTCTATGTAGCGTATCCGCTGTGTACCTGTGAGGCCAATTTTGACTAGTCTTTCAATGAAGCTGAATGTTGTTACGCGCAAGTATTTAATTGCAAGTAGGTTGTCAAACTGATTCAACCATATTCAACCCCTTGCCTGAACCTGGACCAGGGAGGGTTTGAAACATGCCAGAGTCATAAATGGGTACTAGATTGGGGTGCCGTAGCTTGTACATGGTATCTCGCTCCTGCAGGGCTTGGAACTGTTTGAAAGAAAACATAGGACAATAATTAACTTTTGATAATCTGTCGATAATCTGTGAACTTTTAGGTCACGAATCTTTGAAACTAAACACAACATCAATGATTGAGCCAGCTGTCCTCTTTAAGGGCATCTGTGTCATAGTCAAGAGACAGCTTCAAGCACCTCTTGCTAAGGTCTGCCTTCTTCACCACACAGAAAGCTGCCCCCATACCTCCTCTCGCTAAGAGCTTGCAGCTGTCATACTTCTTGAACTTCATTACCCGGTTCTCCCACTCCAGCTGGGAAAATTCATCATCGTCATACATGGCGCTGGCTGTCCGGTTTGATGGTCAAAGCTGATGATGTCAGTAAACTAACGCATCAGTGGTTGCATTGTCACCCATTGAATTCTGTTCCTTAGTATCGTTTTTAGTGAGTGTCATAGATGGTTAGTTGTCACTGTGTTTGTCATTGTCTTGGCTTCTGTGTCTCAATGTTACTTGTTGTTATTCAAACTAATAAGCCACAATGTCAAAACATGAAGTGCTTGCACCGCTGAAACACCAATGAAACAGCAATGACAAAGGAAAAACCTTGACTTAAATAACAATAGGGTCAAGAACCCAGTCCCCGACAAAGCCCGGCAGCGTTGCTGGGCCTTGCTGGGCACAGGGATCAAAGACCCTCAATGAACTCAGCCCTCAATGGACAAAACGTATTTTGTTTGCGAGACGACCAGCTTCTTTTTTTGGACGGGCGCAATCGCAATCACTACCATAAAACCGAGGTCGCAGGTCACCTGAAGGCAGCTGGTTTTGATTTTTTGGGGGGCTAGGGAGGTTCATTCAATGATATAACGCAGACAATCAAGCAAAAGAAAACCAGTGCAAAAAAACTACATGCCTCCTCAATTAGACAAGTTGGCCAACAACTTCAGTCAATGTGACTTCAACTCAACAGCATTCAACTCAGCTCACGTATTTTTGAACCCTCGCAGCGCAACGCTGTGTGCCCCATCACTCCCCCATTGGCAGCTGTCTAGCTGAACAAGAGATTCAAGTCGTAGTCTTAGTGGCGCTGTCAATCCACAGTGACATAACCTTTTTCAATGATGAGATCAACAAATTGGACTTCTGGCGTTTCCCAACACCACCAAGACTGAGACCAAGACCTACTCAAACTTTGTCACATGTCCAGACTTCTTTTTGTCTAGCTTTGAAACATGGTCTATGAAGGAAGATTTCGTGAACCAGTTGTCAGGCTGGCCATCGCCGCACTCACGGCTGACAGCAAGAACGCTTGCATCCACAGCAGCCATCGACAACTCCCACTTGGTGCCACGCATCGATTTCACACCTGTTAACATAAAAACAACAAAAATTGGACAATGCTCTGATTATTAGGGATTATAAACATACAAAAAAAGTTTGCAAAATACTGCAAATACACCAAAAAACATTAATTTGGCAACAGCAAGGCTCGATTGATCAAATTGAAAATGGCCCTGTGACTGTCTTTGAAGTCCCTCGTAATGTGTAGCTTCATTTTGTTCTTCCGGGCTGGCTTAAAATACAAGAGCAAACCACCTTTGCCTTGGATTGCAGAGCTGTCCACAAGAACCTTCCCCATAAGTGACCCAATCCACCGGACACGTTCAGGGGGTTCAGCTGCATCTTGCACCACAAAGCCATCGGCCATCCACCTGTCTGTCGTCACTGACAAGTTGTGCTCCGCCAATCTTCGGAGCAGCTCAGGGGTCTGCGACTTTACCCAAAAGGACATGCCAGACCAAGCCTCCCAGTCCAGTGTCAATTTGGTCTTCTGTGATGCCCGCTCTCTCCTTTTGCGATCTGCAATCAGCTTTTTGTCATTCAATGCGTCTACATCCTTTCGTTTCATGAATTCATCCCTGAGATCATCAGTCAGGTCCAAGGTGCCAAATTCAATGGCCTCAAGCCTCAGCTTCATTTGCTTGTCTTTTTGAAATTGCTTCTCACCCTCATGCCACTCACTCCATTCTGCACTTTGCTCAACTCCTTCAAGGTCCCAGTCCAAGTTCTCAACACTTTGAATGGCATGGTCAACTCCTCGTCTCCTCTTCCGCAGCCATGCTTGTATGGTGTTTGGCTCACCATCCGGAGTTTGCCTTTTCAGGCCCTTGTCAATGCGTTCATCTGTTCGATCCCGTCCTGCTTTGATCTCAAAAGATAACTAAAAGAAAATACTCAGAAAATAATATCTGATTCAACCGAGATTTGAAAATCAAAGCATTCCAAACAAAAACTCCTTGGCCAGAACTGCATTCAGAGTACAACTTCTGTGCTGCAATGCAAATCAACTTCTTGTCAAAGTTGCCACAAAGTAAACGCACTGACCTTGATTCAAACTCCTCAGACGCTCCGCTTCTTCCTGTGGAGTTGAAGTAGTCAGACTTGCTGAAGTTTTGCTCCAAGGCTGATGTGCTGGCTTGCCAAGCAATATATCGAAAAAGCACAGGCTTAAGATTCTCTGCTGGAAAGTTTGCCTCCCGCTTCATCACCCTCTTCAATGTTTCACACCAAGCTTCCCGGTTTCCACACTTGGTCATGCTTGCTATCCTGACACATCCAAGTCAGTTGTAAGAGGGTTGCCAAAGATAGGACTGAAGAAAACAAGAAATCAAGAAAATTAAACAAATAATGTATAAACCAATCATCAGCAAGACTCCTTGAAGCCATTGGCCGCAAACGCTGAAGCTCAGAATACAAACCATGCTCATTGACCCCAAACGCCTTTGCCAAACGTTTTGCACATGTTGTATCATCAACCGAGAACTCAGTCACAGCCATTGTTGTCTTAGCCGTAGTCTTAGCCAATCCAAAGATGCCCAGTGAAGCAAACAAAGTATAGTCTGGCCATTCCGTCCGAAGAACTTCCATGACTAACTTCATCCAGCATCCCATTCGGTGGAACAAACGGTCCATTGTCGCAGCAGCATTCGGCAGCCTCAGTCGATGAACCTGTCCTTTGACAATGTAGGACACGTTTCCTTGTTGC